TTCCGCGATTCTCAGTGTAAGCGTCTAGGGGAGCCAGTCAAAGCGCCCCCTAATAAAACATCCCAGTCAAAGCGTTCCCTAATTCTAGTCAAAGCGTCCCCTGATATTAGCCAAAGCGCCCCATGATTTTGGTCAAATCGCCCACTAACATAATTTTATAGAAAAAATAGTATTTTGCTTTGGCTAATATCAGGGGATGATTTGACTAAAATTAGAGAACGCCTTGACCGGGACGTTTTTATTAGGGGGCGCTTTGACTGTCTCCCCTAGACGCTTACACTGAGAATCGCGGAACAGCGAATTAGTGCAGTGCTATAGAGACAAGCGTCTGGATGAAGGAGACTACAAATAATGACGAAAAAGTAGTAGCATATAATGAAAAGTAGTATAAAAAAGAAAAGTAGTATAAAGAAGAAAAGTAGTATAAAGTAGAAAAGTAGTAGCATATAATGACAAAATACCATCATATAAAGATAAAATACCATCATATAATGACAAAACATCATCATATAATGATAAATGGGAAGCAACTGTTCCTTCGCCATGCGCTCGGCACTTTGAAGTGAAAGTTCCGGGTCCTTCGGATGAGACCTTAAAAACCGAGGCCCCGTGTCAGCGGCAGGCGTTGGCACGATAAAGATCCCTCACTGCTCAATGGCCCTGAGTGCCGAGTAAAGGTCAAAATTTGAAGCCCTTCACCGGCATACGGTGACGTTTCCATATGGGTGAAAAATTCTCCAGAGGGACGTTAAACAATATACAATCAATCAATCAATCTCTTCCTTTGCTATTAGTATAAACCAGTAGAGCTTCAGTTTCGACAAAGACTTCTGGTTTTTCATATTGTGAAAAGAGAAACTGTAGATGTCAATTTTCCAGTATCATGTTTTATTAGGTTATGTTATACAGTATAAAAAAACTGATGGTTCGCTAATACTTTATTTTTTTTATACCCCCGCTTGAAAAGCGGGAGGGTATATAGAAATCGGAATGTCCGTCCGTTCGTCTGTCTGTTACGCTTTGGGGTACCCACCTCTTATCCACAACTACTCTTATACCACTGAGTGAAATTTAATGAAACTTTCACAGAATCTTTTTTACATATTGCCATTGTGCACCTCCTATTTTACTTTTTGATCCGACACATGTTGGCTTTCCCTGCCAGAGCAAAACACGGACTTATGGGGGTATCATTTAAAGAGCTCATTGCTCACAATACCTCTAGTTTAATTTTATTTAAACCATTTTTTAAAATCATGACACTTTTTTTATCTTTCTGCTTCTCTTACTTCTTGAAACTAAGTACAGTGTGAATTATAACTTCTCTGGATAATTTAAGGGCATCTGGAAACAGAAATTGTTGATAATGCAATTTCCTACGTGCTCTTATATGTATTCTATGAGATAATTTATTCTTTCCTGCAACAAAAAATGCATTTTTCTTCAGAGTCCTACAACTATTTATTTCAAATTGATTGAAACGAAAAAAAAAATAACATAAAATAATTTTTATTTAATATTTATATACTTGTATAGAATCCTTAATAATTTAAAACAGTAGTCTTTGTTCCCATGAAATTTCAGTTTTATTTAGATCTTGACTTAATTTATTTCCAATGCAAAGATAAAAAATGAAAATATTTCAAAACATGCGCCTACTTTGAAACACTAGAGTCTTTGATTGGAATTTTAGAATGAGTTTCTGATGTCAACAAGTTTGACATGCCTAAAACATGTTTAGGTCTCTGATTTACAATATCTATGTGAATTTTTGAGGCCATGTTTTCCAACAGTCTGTTGGAATTCGCGTGGATACCATTTGCACCCCTTTCATTGGCAGACCTATTTTTGTATTCATATGAGGCATAATTTGACCAAAATCTTATACATAAAAACAAACACTTGCAATAGCCTTCAACTCGATATTCAGATATATCGACGACGTATTTCAATGATGTATCAGGAGCATGTTGGTAATAGAAACTATGAACCCTTGAATTCCGTGAATTCACTATGAATATTTTTGCAGATGTACAGATTTAACTTAAAAGAAATCTTCAATGGTCATGTGTAATGGGCAGTAGAAATTTAATTGATTTTTTTTTTACAATGTTATACCAGGTGATTAAGTCAACAGTCACTTAACGCATTACAGATTGTATATTTCATCATTGCATGTAATTTGTTAAATCATTGGATAAAAGTTTGTTTTTCAATCGATTCAAGGATTTTTTTGACAATTCCAATTTTACGTCTATGTAATTGTCTTCAAATAAGATAGAAATTAACAGTTTTCGGTCTTTTTTCATGTCAATATAATTATTTTCTTTATTCCATAGAGTATTATGCTGAAATGGGGAAGTTGGTTTATGGATTTTTTGTGACCCCTTATCAAAATTTTCAATAAATTAAATTTCCTTTCTAAAAACTCAATTGAGATATTCATTGATCACCATCACATCAAACAAATAAAAGGCTATAGTACTGCGAGCAATGAGTTCACTAAATGATACCTCCGCCTCCCATATCATTATAATGGAAAAGTCCATGTTTTGTTCTTGGAGACACGAAATAATAGTCAAATAAAAAAAATGAAATAGGAGGTGCAGAATGGTTTTATGTAATTAAAAATCTGTGAAAGTATCATTCGATTTTATTCAATGGTATAGGTAGAGTTGCGGATAAAAAACGAGTACTCTTCAATATTTATAAAAAGAAGGGCCGTGTCCATGTTTTGCTATGGGAAACTCAAAAATGTGTCCGACCAAAAAGTAAAATTAAAGATGCACAATGGCACTATATAACGCAGATTTTGTGGAAGTTTTGTTAAAATCCATACAGAAGTACAAGACTGGTTGTGGATAAGAGTTTGGTACCCTAGAGCGTAACAGCCGGATGGACATCTCAATAACTATATACCCTCCTACATTTCAAGTTAAGGGTTAAATGATACATCATTTTTTGAGCTCCTGTGTTGGTATCTTTTGTGATACCAGATGTTGACCTCTAAAGAAACTCATAATAGGAAATCTCAACTCAAATTAAACTTATATTTGTAATTCATTTTTTATACCCCTGCTTTAAATAAGACGATTTATTATACTTCTGTTAAAATGATTCCTATATAAAGTTCAGAAGGTAAAATAGCTATCTTTTATAGTTCACGCTAAGCAAAGCTATACCCCGGGGTATAGTTTTTGCTATCCACCCTCAGAAAATGTTCATGCAATTTTTGCCTCTAATTTTGATTTCCAGCGATAAATCTATTGTCTGATGATGTCATAATGACTTCAGTAGCATTGTGACGTCATCAGGATTTCAGATTATTCTTGCAGTATTATCTGTCTCCAAAAAATTCAAACCTCAGAAATTATATTATACATCAGTATAATAAAACGCTTATCCACTGGTTGTGAGTGGGATAGCTCTTTTATCAAACCCGTGACAGGAACTATTCCCCTCGGGCAAGCCCTAGGATATAGTTTCCTGTCGTGGGTTTGATAAAAGAGCTATCCCACTCACAACCAGTGGATAAGTGTATAATATAGTAATCGGAAAAGAAACCGTCTGACATACCATTTGAAGTGCTGCTTGATCATCTCAATAAGGACTTGAACCCTAACCCCCTCGTTATTGCAGAGCGTTTCCGGTTCCACAAGCGGAACCAAAAACATGGCGAAACAATTTTAAAGTACAAAGCTGATCTGCACAATCTCACGATACATTGCAATTTTGTTGATCATTCAGGTAATACACCACGTGTTAGATTTGTGCGAGGCCTACGTGGTGAACACATCCAGAAAAACTTTTTATCAAAGGATGATCCGACCTTGGACAAAGCTTTGAAGACAACAGCAGCAAGTGGAAACAGCATCCAACGACCAACAAGGTACACATAAACCATTCACATCTAAGAGACTACACATAATCAGACAACACACCACTTCGTTATCTGCAACGTATCCGGAAACCAAGCCAGAGACTTGACTTGTAATTTCTCTATATTTAATCATATGATCAACTGTTAAAATTAGATTTCATGTGTCTCAGCTGTTTCTAGTCATTCGAGTGTATAATCTTGTTCTTGATCTTGCCATGTGCTGCAATTACTTAAGTTCTATTTAACTGCTTCCTATTTTAGTCTGATGTTTATCATACATTGAAACATTAACGAACTATCCTGTAAGTTAACTTTTTTAAATTTTCATACGTTCTCTTAATAGAATTAATCTTTAAAGTTGGGTGTTGAGTATGTAATCCGGAAATATGCGTGTCTGTGTGTCTGTTTGTCTTGCATACTGCCATAGTAATTTATGTTTTCTACGTCATAATTATGCGAAATCTTTTATGTGTGAATGAGTAGCCTAACACGTGCTCTAGTGTTTTCTTCTTTACTGATATTTTGGCCCCAAATTTACATGTACAACGTCATGATCATTTTTTTTTTATTGATGGTTGATTGTAAGGGAGCCCTGTGATAGACCCGCAAATTGTTCATTGCGGCCAGAAGCGCCAAATTAAGCAAACAAATAGAAATTAACACATCTGCTGTTTGTTGGAAATAAAGTGAAACTAAAATATATCGATTTTATTCTCGTCTTGTCACAGACATAAAATAATTTTTATGCTTAAATGAGTTTTAAAAAATAAATAATAGTATTCTGCGATTTTTAATTTTAGCATAATTATTTGAATTAGATTTTATGATAGTTATTTACTAACATAAATAAAATTAATCAGCTGTATCTCAAAATTATATTTTAGATAAGCAAAATTGAAAGTTAGACATATTTACCGACTTATAATGTTTCATGCATAACATTATCCATTATATATGATGTTTCTTAACGATGACGATTTAAAATTAAATGATAATGGCCCACAATTACAATTTTTTTTCTTAAATAATTTTAATGGCCTGGTTCTTATATACTTGTAACACAAAAATGGACAATGTATGCGTACGTTATGAGGCAAATAAAAAATAAAAAAAAATATTATCTAGTTTCATACATCATTTCATGATTTGATGATAATGAGTAAATTACACTGGGATTTCTAATATTTATAAAAGATTAAAAACACCAGACTGTATACTAATATGTCTAAATCTATTTTTTTTTTAAATGTTTCATACAAAAGTAGTTTGCAATTTATTTATCCTTTCATGATCTCAACCAACATGACGGCCCCTGCACCGATCGCTGCTATCATTCCTATAATGCTTAAGGCGAAAGCAAAGTGGTAATCAATGTCAAGGTCGACTGTAACCAATGTTACCAAGTCCTTCGCTCTGGCTGCAAATATTGCTATTGAAATAAGGATAAACACCGCTACAAAAGAAAACAAATTATATATATATATATATATATATATATATATATATATATATATATATATATATATGTATATATATATATATGGAGAGAGAGAGAGAGAGAGAAAACACAAAGAAATTCACTTTTAGATGGATACCCACTTCCGCCCCAGCCCGGGGTTGAACTCTCGACCTTCGGAATCTGTCTCCTAGCAGTGCAGGAACAGCGCGCTAGACCGCTCGGCTATCTTGGCAAGTCAAAAAACTTGCCTTCGATGCCGATGGAATTCTCGCGGCGCTGCCCTACACTACACGATCATTGAGAATAGAAGTGAGATACAGTTATCTGAACATTATTTTTCACAGAGGATTATAACCAATAAATGTTGTAATGAAATTTATTATTATTTATAAAGCACATTTTACAACAACTCTTAAAATAACAAAACTGCCCTAAGTGAAGAAATATTAATATAGAAAGCACAAAGAAATTCACTTTTACATGGATACCCACTTCCGCCCCAGCCCGGGGTTGAACTCTCGACCTTCGGAATCTGTCTCCTAGCAGATATATATATATATATATATATATATATATATATATATATATATATATATATATATATATATATATATATATATATATATATATATAAAGCACTAAAAATGACCAACGACACGAACAATAAAAATTGTCAAATTTTCGAGACGCCCTGTCCCTTCCTCAGGACAAAGAAAAAAGTTAAAAAGTCATAAGAACAAAGGAAAAAGAGAAACAAAAACAACTAGCACTACTACTAAACTACTAAACACAAGATATTTACATACTTGATTACATGTTAAATTGGAAATTTTTAAGAACACTAATAAAGAACGAAATCCGGACCGCTATGAAATGCGTCAGGTGTATCGGGTATACTCGGGTGAAGTGCGATTTACATAATTGAACGAATTAATTATGCTAATAAATTACGACAATCAGTAAATCGTACATTGTTTCATTCTCTCAAAATGGCGTAACTTTACTTAATAAAGAATAATGAAAGAAAAATCATATAGTAGGGATATTTAAACATATGAATTGTGATCAATTATAAATTTTGAAATATTTAAGGACTTATTATCGGGAAAAAATAATAACAAAGGCGTAAGCAATACGTAGTTATGTGGTTGTTCGAGTTCGAGAGTTGGTGGCACAAATTAACTGTAGAGTTTACACTAAATTGAGAAAATAATTTTGTTTAGTATGATCAGGAATTGGGTCTGATTTACGTTCATTCTGGTGAAGTCATTCAATTTGTTAATACCATTATCACTTTCCATTAATTTAATTTATTTATATTATAGTGTTGTACTTTGCATGCACTATGCCTAAATAGTAGTCAGGGTTTGATCCGAAGGACCAGTCTCCACGTCCCACAGTGGGATTCCGACCCGCAACGTAAGGATCAATACCTTACTTAGCGAGTTTAGACTTCTTAAAAATGTGTATGCTTCTAAGTACTTTGCTCATTTACAGTACTCTGAAAAAAAAACACCAGCTTTTTCACCTAAAAAGCAGTCAAACAGGTGAGAATACTGTTATCATCCTGTGGCCAGTTTCATAAAGCTATCTTATGACTAAGATCTGTCTAAAGGCCGAAAATTATATTAAGATTGCACCATAGCTGTTTCACAAAACTGTCATAATATCTTATGATAATTTTAAGATCTATCAAAATCTTCAGACAACTAAATGCATGTCTTAAGTCTAAAGTGCAACTTGTGAAAGTATATACTTTGGCTAAAACCGAGGAATATTTAAAGATAAACGGTTTTTAGTGATAGAGCATTATTAGGCCAGAAGGAATGATGACACCCACCCTCACCCCCGGCGCAAATAACAATTTGCCAAAAAATAAACGATAGAAAATCTAACATGTACCTACTTTATGTTTTTCCACTTAATTATTTCAATGTATTTTTTCTTTGCTTGTGTCCCCTCCCAACTGAAATTACACCCCCAATTCTTCTGCCATGCAAAATCCAAACATCATATATTACTTGATTCAAAATTGTTTCATTTGATTTCCATATCCCGAAAGAATATCACAATAGCTATGACCAAGCATTGCTAACTTGAGCAATTTTTAAAATGGCCAAAGTAATTCCAGATGTGTTCGAGATACATAAAATGCTGACTGACGTTTTTCATACCAATTGTTAGTCCATTATTTATACACTGAATTGACCACGGATTTTTTCCGTTATTTCCTGATTATTACAACGAGCACATGGCGGGTGTGACCGGTCGGCAGGGGATGCTCACTCCTCCATGGCACCTGATCCCACCTCTGATGTTTCGGAGGTCCGTGTTTGCTCTGCTCTTATTTTGTATATTTGTTTAACGGACGTTGAGATTGAATACTGTTCGTTATTTCCATATCCTTCATACATGTAGTTTATTTATTGATAGGTTACATTAATATCTTTTCAATGAACAGAAATATATTTAAGATAGTTTTGTGAAATAACAGTGACAAATCTTATGATTCTTAAGATGGTCGTAAGATCTATTTTACGACAAATGTTAGGATTATTTTGTGAAACCCAGCCATGCGCTTTAGGGCTATGTTAAAGTACAGAAAATAGAGATGTTACATAAGGTGCACGGTTTCTGTGTATAGACAAAGCAAAGGACGGCTTTCAAAGACATGAATTAATACAAAGAGGGCTGCATTTGACGATAAACCACGAAACGCAATTTAGAATCTATCAGTCAGGAACAAATCAAAATCCCATCTATTATTTTGCGTGAGTTATGTTTTTAGTTAATTAGTAAAATAAAGTTTAAATTAAATTAAACAATCACTTTAAATTATATCTCGTTGCCTAATTACACAATCATTGCGAAAAAACATGTGAGTTTTAAAAAAGTGCGCGGAACTGTATACTGTAGAAGTACTTTTTTTCCGCGTGGTATTAATTTACGCTATGTACGCGGTCACAAATTTTCCGCGGAAATTAATCCAAGCGTACTTAAAATAAATACAAGGCATATAGTGACAATCTAGCTACCCGCAGATAAAACAGAAATTGAGATTCCGCGGAATTATGACCCCGTGGAAAAAAGTACGTCTACAGTATTTATAACATAGCCTTAAAATGATGATAAAATGAAATTTTTAAACAAAATAGAATCCCACAGATACCCCCTTAATAAAATTAGCTCACCTCCAGCAAAAGCTGTGCCAACGGCCCCAAATAAAATTGATTTCTTTTCTTTCAAAACGAACATTTTTAAAACTGTCATGATTACTGCTACCACCAATACCAGCAATCCAAGGATGCCCATTGCTCGGACGGCGTTAAGATCGTCTGTTAAAAAAATATATTTATGTAATAATAACATTTGATGTTCAAATAGCAACAGAAAACAGTTTTCAATTTAAAGTTGTTTTTTAGAGGTTTTAGCTTATTTAACCTTTATTGTGATAACATAAAATTTTGTATTCATCTTTTTTATTATTATCCTTAAAAATTTGACATCCATTTTGTGCTAAATAATTTTTCCATCAATTACTTCCCATTCGAAAACAAATCTTAGAAAAATCATGATAAATTTTGTTAAGAATGCACCTGTATAACCATCTGGTATAACCACATCTCCGCACTGGGTATCTCCAGTCGAAACAGTTTCAGTACACATCTTCCACAAACCGAAATTAACTTTTACTATCGTTGCATCAACAAACGTCCAGTAAGGCGACGCCAATCCAATCAGTTGAAAAACAACTGCACATATTGTAAGCACCAGTGCAATGAGCAAATATTTAGAGGCTTCCATATTTTTGGACCTGAAACAAATTGCACTAGCTGTTATGTTTCATTATAAAGTAAATGTATATGTGCTCTTCCAGAAAACATAGAAAATTCTACAAAAGGGGTACATATAAGGACAAGTGTCTTATGAAATATGACATAGGCATAAAAAATGACTCAATACGTAGTTACAAAAATAATATATTAGGTTTTAGTGCATTTTGCCTCGAATTCGGAAACGAATGTTAAGTGAGGGTGAAGGACTCGCTGAAGAAATAATATTAGAAAACGTAGCTCGTGCCACTGGGTTCGTTTGATGATTTTCGCTACCAGATTTTGTCTGCGACTTCAGACCGTAGAAACAAATATACATGACTAATGAATTTCAGAATCTCATATTCCTTCAATATTCAACTAACTTAAAAATATCTTATATTTGCAATTAGGTAGGGAGCATTGTTTTTCTGTAAAATATACATTTGTGAAGAGCCTCTTTCATTTATAATTTTATTTCCATAAAGATTTTTCCTCAAATATTTCTACTTCACCCTCTTAAATTTGGTAGGACAAAGAGGAAAACTTACCAGGTTGAAATCTCATAGGCGCATTGACTGATCAACGAATTTCATAATTTTATTCATAATTTATTTTTAAAAAATCAACTAACTTTGATTGAAATTCGTGTACTCGATTCTGTGTCCCATAATTTTCTCCCTAGATATTTCCAAGACTTAACAATAAAATTCGAAAACCTTTTGTCATAAGAATTCAGATTATTTTTAGTACTTCGAAGTTCAAATCTGAGGTAAACCTATTTCAAAGGAGCAAAAATAAATGAATATTCCTTCATGACACCGTTCAATTGTTAACAAATTTAAACCACTAAATAAAAAGCAGCAAATAGCTGTTTTTGAAAGTGCAGAAGACATTTTTCCACAATAATCCCACATAAAGATATAGAAGCAATTTTTTTGATAACTTTAGACTCTTTTAAGCAGTGATTAATAGGTGGGAAATTTAATTGGCTGATGCGGTTTGTTCCGTAAAGTTTTATGTCAGTTTAACATTTTTTTTCCCCAAAAAAAGGTTCAAACGTTTATAACATATTGGGAGTTTGCAAAGATATTTGTTGATATTTCTTGTTCAGACTTGTGCAAAAGCAATGACAGATCTGAAACATATATAAATACACGTTCATGTAATTCAATATCGCAAAACATATTGCGATAGACTTTGAAAATAATAAATACGAACAAAAATACTTTTTCTAAAGGCAAAATACATCTTACTTCGAAAAATAATCAGAAATGGACTAAGCCAAAAAATTGTATTCTTATAGTTTAAATTTTTCTTTTTCAGAAATAAAACAATCTCTTAAACTTATACTTCAAATAAATTACAAAAATTTTATTGATAAAAAATTACCTTCAAGAGGTGACAAAGGCAAGAGTTAAGTTTCCCAAAGTGGTGTGAATGGACCGGTGTCTCGGTATTTATAAAAGGAAAACCAGGAAGTACCGACTTGCTGGCCAATGAAACTTATTTTATGAGAATAATTATTAAATAAACAAAAACCAAAACACTGGTAGGCTACTAACATTATATATTTGAAGGATTTAGACCATATAATAATATAGACCTGTATAATAATTATCTACGAAGAGAAGTTTAAGAAGAAACAACATACTGATTTTAACTTTCTTTTAATATCTCTAAAATTTTACGAAGGGATCTAATTCATTAAACCGCTGATAATATGCCTGGAAATGAAGTATATAAAAAAAATAAGTTGGCAACAAAAAACCTCCCACTCTTACATACGTAAAAGAGAGAGAGTTTTAACTGATAAGAATGCACTATTGAATTGAAAAAACAATTAAAAAAATCTTTCTATGTATTATCTTTTAAAGGTATGTTGATTATTTTTCAAATATATTTCATTATTAGAGTCACAATCTGAAATGTATCCTGTTGATTACTGTACATGTATATATACAAGAAGAAATAATTATCTCGTTTAAGTATCAGTCACATTATCCAGCGATGGGGTATACGATGAGAAACCGATGCGTTTTTTTTATGAAAATGGCGTGGTTGCCGGCCGGACACCACTTGTGATCGGACGCTGACTGGGGCCATTTTTCGAATCGGTGGGGTCATCGGTAGGAAATAATTCGTAGTTAAAATTTAGCGATGTCTCCAACGATGCCTCACATCGCTCCTCATCGGCAACCCATCATAAACACAACGCTCCTCATCGGCAACCCATCATTAACACATCTTTCAAGGATCGGCCGATGTATGGCCGAGCATCGTCCAATATCCGTTGAATCTGAGGTCATCGGGGAGTTTAGTGGTGTTCAACAGATAACGACCGATCATCGGTCGATGTTCGACCAAACATTGGCCCGTAGTTGACCGATGTGCGAACGATGTCCACCAATGTATGAGCAATTTAATATACATCGGCCGATTATCCTGGAACATCTTTTTATGGTTAGCAATAAATCGCTGCGCCTTTGTAAGTCCGGCTGGCAACCACGCCACTTTTATCATAAAATGCATTGGTTGCCGATCGTATACCCAACGCTAGATAATGTGACTGATACTTTAAGGACTACTAGGCCAATGTGGACCGATGTCGGGGCATCGTTAACATCACAGATTACCACCGATTACCACAGGTCTACAGCTACCGGCCGGGAAATGTGACCTAGGCATTATGCGTGAGAAGTAATTTATATAAAAAGAAAGAAACTTACTTTTATTTAGTTCTGAAATTCTTGATAAATTACTTGATCAATCGACCTGTGCCAGCCATTGTCTTCACGATTTCGTGATATCAAGTATTTGCGTAAAATAAGGATCTTACAGTTACAGTACTGTAGCTATAATCATAAAATTAAAGTGAGAATTAAGGTAGGTCCCTAGTACTGGACCTACTTGTGATTTATCAAAAAATTGTTCTCAGATATTTAGATTGTTCATAGTAAGGTATGATGAATTGGAAAAGGGGGGGGGGTGTCAATATTATAACTGAGAGTTTCTCAATCACAGGTACCCCTATTTGTCAATTGACGATATGAGATTCCAATGAAGGTTTCATAGAATTTGTACGTACAAACACTAACTTTGATGCTAATGAATGATTTTTCCTATTAAAATCAAAGAAATATATCCAATTAAACAAATAACAGTGAAATTTTATTGTTGTTTTATTTTCTTTCCTTGGGTTTTGGGGACTAAATTGAACAAAATACGACCCTCGACCAGCCCCAAAACCTTGAAGTAGAACACTATTAAAATTATTGTGAGAAAAAATCGACTTGTGATTTTCTGTCAAATTCTCAAATTATGTTCATCTATGTCTATTTAAAAACAGCATATTTTTTTCTCATCACCACTACTTATTTATACATTTTTTTGTTCAATTGAGATTTTTGAATTTCAAATGAGGAAAGATAAAAAATACATAGCTATTGATTAATTTTATTTCATTTAATAGATGCATAACTGCAAAAAAAAAAAAAAAAAAAAAAATAACAACATTCTTAATAATATAATATAATTTTAAAAACTATAATACTTTCTGTGTGACATCAATTACAGATGTATTTCACATATTATACATGTATATGTTCCTGTTTTTCGAGTGGACACAATGAAAATCCACAGTCTTATCAGTCATCAATTTGGAAGCATTACTCTTTCCACAATACTGAGTCAAAGTACATACAAGTATGGGTTCAACAGAATACACAAAAATAGTATACTACAGAATATTAAGTCAGCATTTTGCACCCTTTGACTGAAACATAAAAAAACCAAATACAGTCTAACGTTAGGTTGAGTGTTGACTGAAATCTCCCATACAAGTTGTTAGACCTTAATTTTAACACACTGTATTGTCTAAATTAAAATACATACAAACAGTTATCATTCATAGCTATTCAAATATTCAAACAATTTGTTGATTACATTAGATGACTTAGATATTCTAGGCTGCTTTGAACCCGATAATGGTTCACTAAAATTATTTCGTAACCCATTATGTGGATCACTCTTGTGGATTAGCACCAACTTAGACAAACTAAGAGAATTTACAATCAACTTCTTTGAAATCATGGAAGATTCAATCTTTGCCTTAACAAGCGGCTCTAAAGACTTCTTAATGGTATAATAATTCAATGTGAACATATCATTAACTGTACACAGAGCCAACAACGTCATTTCAAAAAGTTCCCAAATGCCTTTACATCAGCAATAACATTATGAGCTTCATAATATTTTACAATGGAAGCATTTTCAAGAGTGACTTGTTTAAAATCTTTAACATCAACTTTGCTGAAAGATTTCCTAGACACTTGTAAAGTATCTATAAAACCAGTGACAGTGCTATCAAAACTGTCAAGTAGTTTAATTTGACTAGCTGATTCATTTACACTGGTAAGTCAAAACATTGTATGTTGTGCCCAACCAAAATAGGTTTACAATCAGCAGTCTTCAAAATTTCAACAAACTGCTGAAGTCCTCCAAAGGGCTCTTTATGTTTCACCTTCTTGCCATTATGCTTCAGCACACCACCAACAAAAGTAAGTCCAGTTGCTGTAGATGCATCAAGACTAATTGGGGACTGTGGTGTCAAGTACATGTTGAACTCTTTTCTTTCCACATACAGCTGCAATCTGAACAATGTCTGATGTCCTGGTTGAAATAAATAAAATAAATATTGAAACTCCCATAGTGTATACTTCTAAGTCAAATGCAACTCATTTCTTAACCTTATATAATATATTCCTTAGATATTTCTACCAAGAAAAAACTAGTTCACAAACATAAACCAGTAGTTTCTAGGTCAAATACCACGTAAGATTTGTTGGTACTTGGTAGTTGATCTAATTTATTCAAAGAAATGTCTTCCAAATCAACTTCATCACTGAAACCAATTTTGCTGCTGTATGTATCCGCTGCAATAGAAATGTTCGGAAAAAATGATAGATAAAAACAAACATCACACATATAAATAAAGTTTCAGATAAGTTGTATTTATCTGACTTACCTTCAAGAACAGATTATGATGCATCTTTTGCAGACCTTTCTGACTTTTAAGCTCTAAACGCCTCCGCTTTGCTTGTTGTAATCGCTTCAGCTTCAGTCTGCTTTGTAGGATCCTGGAATGCTTGAGGGTGTATCTTCCAGGAGACATTGTCAGTCTTTTATTCACTTGAGAAAAATATAATGAAATATAAAATAATATAATAAATAATATAAAATATAATATAAAAATAAGTTCAAATATGAAATTGAAAACTTTTTTTCTGGAAAAGAAAAAGAAGAACCAACAGATCCTTATCAATATGTAAGACATGCAAAATTTTTTTTTCAAGTAAAGAGATTATATATTTTATGGAGTAAGAAAATCTATTGTGTCTGCATTAAAATGTATTATAAATAAATTCAAACATTTTATGGACATGATTCTCTGAGAACTTTAAAAACACTTAAAAATTAATTATGCATTAAAAATGAAACCGGGCCAAGTAAATGAAAAAATGTAAACAAGATTCCTGGTTCTTCACTCTTCTATGTGTTATTCAGAATACTGAAATTATATCTCAAACATTTTTGTCATCTGTGATACAAAATACAACTGTCATTCAGAAAATGTAAAGAAAGTCCAAAATAACATTGGATTTTATTACTTATTGTTACGGCTGTGACAATAAATATCAGGAAAATACTAATCCATTTGCAATCCAGTCCTTACAAGATCTTTTCACTCTTCATTTTAAAATTATTTTGATATCTTAATATGGTTTGAGCTTATTATTATGAAAAAAAGATGGAAAAGATATAATCATTTAATATATTTTTTTAAGTCAATATTTGTTATAGAACATTTAACTTATTTTGAGTTTTTGTTTCCTGTAAATTACAAAAAAAAAACAAAAACAAAACAAAACATTTTAGCTATTCAGCTGTACCATAATCCATATTACTTCGACCTCATTTATTCGTTTTGCATTTTTCTTGGTTTTAAAAGAATCTCGAAATAAATTTTTAGCTAACTTCGGTTCGTCCAAAGTGGATGAGAACAAGTCAATGAAGTCATTTCCTGTCATCTTGAACTATGAATATTGTTTAATCACAATAAAGACCACAAAGAGACTAATATCATTCACAATCAAAATATGCCAAACATTTAAATCAACAAGAAGCCATTTCCCCTCACATTTTTCTTCAATATGCAAGCCTATTCTTGCATAATATAATTAGGTTTAAATATAACACCGGAAGGGAAAGGCTAGTTCAAGCTACATAGCTAAGGATCAAAGTTTCGTCTAGCTGTATATTGGGAAAAAATCGTTCCACATTTTCTGAAAAGAAAACCAGGGTTACCGTAACGATTATTCAAGAATGCTGTTTATAATGCAAATTCATATTTGCTCAAACTTTGGTC